TTCTGGGGGGTCAGCGACTTCTCTTCGTCCAGCTGACGTGCCGCCCCCAGTGCAGGCCAGTTCCTCATGGCTCTGTCCTGTCCGCGGCCTCCGGGCGTCACAGGGGCAGCCAGGGCGGGAGCTGTGTGGGGCCCGGGGCCCTGCCCAGGGCCGAGCTGCCCACGGACCGCGCTGCCCACTGTTGGGGGCGGGAGCCGGAGGAAGCGCGAGCCACAGGGTGTGAGGCGAAGCTCCCGGCCCGGGTCTCTGCAGGACAGTGGCTGTCCAGGCCGGCGGACCGCGGCCTCGGAGCCCAGCGCTTCGCTCCCCCGCAGCGGCCTCGGGCCTCCGAGGTGCGGGGGCGGCGGAGAGCCCCGGGCCGGCCGCTGGAGGGGTGCTGAGGGCGCCGAGCTCTGCCCAGGAGCGCCCCGCAGACACTCGCCAGGACTCCGGCCGCGCGTGTCGTCGGTTTCCACTCACCGGGCAGCTGGAGGAGCGCGGCCTCCGGGAGGCCAGTGCGCGCGCGCGTCCCGGCGGGGGTGGGGGGGGTCTGCGCCCCGCGCACCCCTGCGCTCCTCCGAGCCGAGGCCCTGGGCCCCACGCGCCAGACGCGGGCCTCTGGGTCTGGGGCCCTCCAGGAGCTTGTGGGGCGCCTCTCCTGCCCCTCTGCGCCCAGGCTCCCCGCGCCGGCTGCCCGGCCAGACCACGGAGGCGCCCGCCCGGGCTCACGGGGCCCGACCCAGGCCCTAGCGGGCCCCGAGCAGAGAGAGGGCCGCGCGGTCGGAGAGGCAGGGGCCAGGCCAAGACGAACGTGCCAGACGCGGAGAAATGGCGAGGGCCGGGCCGGGCCGTCCCGCTGCCGCGCGCGAGAGCAACTTCAGGAAGCTCGTCGGAGGCGGGGCGTCCGGCGGGAGGCCGGATTCTGCTGCCCCTAAAGGCGCCGGCGGGGACCCGCCAGCAAGAGAGACCGCCAGGGCCGGGGCGGTTCTCAGGCCCGCGAGGGAGCGCGGCCCGGAGCTCCAGGCGCCCCAGCCCCGGGGCCCCGGCAGCAGCGGCCCGGCGTCCACGTGCGGACCCCCGCAGGGTGTCGGGCGCCGTGAGCCCAGCCGCCCCAGGCGCGCCCCCGGCGCCGGGTCTCCCAGGGGCGGCCCCGACTCCAGGAGCGCGCGGAGAAGCCCCGCCGCCGGGCGCCGCGGACGCGGAGGGGCGAGAGCGCTGCGCGCCCCGGGGCTCCAGCGCGCGCGACCTGAACGCCAGGGCTGGGCTTTGGAAGAAGAAAAACGAAGCGAATTGCAGAGACGACCTCGCGCCTCTCCCTTTCCCTGGCAGCAGGGTCCCTCCCGCCAGAAGTCCGGGCGAAAGGTGGGGGACAGGCCGGCGAGGCGGGGTTCGCAGGCGCCGCTAAGACGTCTAGGGCTCTTCATGCCGGCGAGTCCTGCGGAGCGCGTGTGCTGAGCCGCCGGCGCCCCCAACACCAGACCGACGCCCCCAAAGCGGCAGTTCGGGCCGCAGCACTGCGCGGCGCCCGAAGGCCAGGCCCGAGCCAGGGCGAGCAGGGGCCACGCGCGCCCGGTCACGCCAGCGCCGCGCCTTGTCCCCCTCCCGCGGCGCGGCCGGCGTGGGGTGGGCGCAGGTGGGCGCGCCAGGGCCCGGGCGCCCGTCGGTGGCGCGGGGACAGCGCTGGGGCCACCGCGGCAGGGACGCGGCCGCCGGCCAGGCGCGGGCCACAGCGCCCCCTCGCCGCCCGAGCGCACGACTTCGGCCGCGTCGCCGCCTCACCTCCCGGCGGCCCGGAGCCCGGGACGCCGCGGCGCTGGAGAGCGCAGGGCCCGGCCGCCGGCCGCCTTCGGGGACACGCCCGAGACCCCGAGCCTGCGCTCCGGGCTGCGCCCAGCTTGGCCTCGCGGGCCCGGCTCCTCGAGTCGCGCACCCGGCGCGGGCGCATCCGAGGCGGAGGCCGCTGCGGGGTCACGGCCAGACCGCGGCGGAGTGGGCGCCCTCTCGTCCTCGCGCGCGGCGGGGGAGGGCCGCGGGCACCCCGCCTGCCCCCGCCGGAGTGGGACAGGTGGCCGCGCTCCCCGCGGGCGCGCCGGGCTCCCCCTCCGGAGCCGGGCGCGAGGAGGAGCCCAGGAGCAAAGCGCCCGCCCACACCCCGGGCCCCGCGGGCCCGACCGCCCCTCCCGGCCGGGCGCGCAGCCCACCGGCTCCGGCTCGGGCACCGCGAGGCCCCGGCGCGGGCGAGCGCCCCGGCCCGGCCCCCGCCCGGCCCCGTCCAGCCCCGACGCGCGCAGCACGTTGCTTCGATGGATTTCCTGAAAGAAGACCCAAGTCGACCGTCATCTGAGAGAAAAGGTGATTTTTGAGAACCAGGGAGCTGGAAAGCGACGCGGCGTCTCCATCCCGGCAACGCGGCGCGCGCGGGCCCAGGTCTCCGCGCCGGCCGTTGATTTGCCTCAGTCGCTCCAGTGAGGACGGCGCGGCCCGGCCCGGCTCCGCCCGAAGCAGCGCGAGGCGCACGGTCTTGGCAGCAGCCGCGGGGCCGCGGGCGGAGGCTCGGGCGGCAGCGCAGGGGCAGCGCCGGGCCCGGGGAGCCCGACCCGGGCCTCGCGCCGCGCGGGCCGCTCGGACACGGCCTGGACGTCCAGGCCGACCGCGCTCAGCAGCGCTCCCGCCGCGGGCGGGGGGTGTTTCCGCAATAACTCACCGGCTTCTTTCCTGCCCCGGCAGAGACCAGGCGGGGCGCAGGGGCGGGAGCGCAGGGAGGGGCCGGGATGCTAATGAGGGCGCAGCGGGGACTGGGCTTTAGAAATGGAAATTCCCGGGCCAGCCCGCCTCCGGCTCAAAACTAGACCCGGCTTCTCACTCGGGCAGCGCCCTCGCTGGGCGCGGAGACGCTGGGGGACAGGCCGGGGGCCCGCCGGGGCCCGCCGGGTCCTGCCCCAGGCCGCGAGGGCGCGCGGCCTCTCCTTCCCGCTGCTCTCCGGAGAGACCCTGGCCTTGGCCTGCTCCTCGCGCCAGCTCGCCTGCTCTCCCCGGCCGTTCGGCGGCCCCTGACCCCAACGACAACTCGGAACATCCGCCCTGAGCGAGGAGGGGGTCCCCCGCGAGCAGCGCGGCGCCCCACGAGCGGCTGGAGCCACTGGCTCCCACGGGGCCTCCCCCAACCGGGGGTCTGGGCAGCGGCCTGAGCGAGGCGACGAGGAGGCAGAAGGTTCGGGCCGGGTGCGCAGTGAGGCTGGGGGTAGGGGCGGGGGAGCAGTGGTTCAGGCTGGCATGGAGGCGCCCGGCCCCCTCGAGAGCTGCTGCCCTGCCCGGCTCTGCGGTGCGCAGCTGGTCCCCTTGGGTCTGGGGAGAGACAAATGCCCGGCACTGCCCCAGGAGGGCCGCGGCGCGGCGGGCGGGCGGCATGGCTGGCGCGGGCATTCCAGCCGCAGACAGTCCCCGAGGAGCGCGGCCGCTGCTCAGGGCCAGAGCCAGCGCGAAGGCCCCGGCCGCTGGGCCAGGGTCGGGGGCAGAGCTGTGTGGGCCGGGGCTCCCCCTCCAGGCCCCTCCAGAAGTGCCCCCAAGGAGGAGGTACCTGTTGGATGCCCCCAACACCCCCCTCCACACCTGCTCAGCGAGGACCCCTTGAGCGCCCCCCACCGGTCACCCCCTCTTCCGCTGACCCCTCGGAGCAGGAGGGGGCTGAAGGACCGGGTGGGTTCCGGCCGGGGCCCCAGGGTGCTTTGCTCAGCGTCTGGTGTCGGGGACCCAGGGCGCCCCCAGCCGCTGTTACCTGAGCGCCCGCGCTGCCGGCTGCGCCCGCGCCACCGTCCCGCGTCCTGGCCCTTCCGGAGCCCGCGGAGCGTCGCGTCCGCCTCGGGCCGGGGTGGCCGCCGTCCGGCGTCCGGCGACGCGGATCCGAGAGGGGAGCCGGCTCGCTCAGCGCCGCAGCACAGAGCCCGGGGCGCGTGCCGAAGGGTCCCCGCAGGGAGCGTCCCCGCGCGGGCACGGGGCCGAGCGCCAGGGCCGGGCAGAGGCGCCGCAGGGCCAGCCCGGCCGAGCGGAACGAGGCGTCCGGGGCCGGCCGCGGGGACACGCCGGGCGCGGGCAGGCGGCTGGCCGCGCGGGAGCCCCGAGAGGCGAGGCAGGGCAGCGGCGCGCGGAGGGAGTGGGGGGCGCGCACGCCACCCCCAGGAGCCCCCGGGCCTCGGGAGCCACCGCGCTGCCCCCTCGCCGCCCCGCGACTGCCCCGGGACGCGGCCCGCGCGCGGCCGCCTGACCGAGCTCCTCCCGGCGGAGGGGGCACCGGCCGCCCGGGCCGCTGGCGGGAGCCGCGGCCGGTCCTCGTGGACACGCCGGGGGCGGGGCGGGTTGGGGCGGGGCGGGGGGGCGGGAGCGGCGGGGGGGCCGGGCCAGCCGCAGCGGCGGGGCGGGGGGACGTGCGCGCGGGAGGGGGCGCGCGGGGCGCGGGCCGGGCGGCCGGGACGGCGGGGCCGCGGGCTGGGGCTGCGCGCGAGGCGGCTGCGCCACAAAAGCCGGGGCGCCCGCCCCGCCCCCGCCGGCCGGCCCCGCGCGCCCCGCCCCGCCCCGCGCGCCCCGCCCCGCCCCGCGCGCCCCGCCCCGCGCGCCCCGCCCCCGGCCGCGCCCCGCCCCCGGCCACGGCCCGCCCCCGGCCACGGCCCGCCCCTGGCCACGGCCGGGCGGCGGGCGGGGCGGCGGGTATGCAGATGAGCGCGTGACGGACAGCTCCGCGTTCCAATGTCCCTCGGAAACTCGAGCGCTCCTTCCTCAACTCCTCACTCCCCGCGCCAGACGCCCCCAAACCCCGATCGCCGGCCTGGCGCGCGGCTGCGCCCACCGGCTCCGCGCCGCCGCCCCGCGCTCCCCCCGGCCCGCCCGGGCTCGTGCGCGGCCGGCCCGCCCCGGCCCGCGGCCCCCGCGCCCGCCGCCGCCCCGCGCCCGGGCCGGCCGTGGATGGAGCGCGCCGCGCGCCCTGCCCGCTGCTCGGCGTGACGCGGGCCCCGCGCCCCGCGCCCACCATGTCCTACCCGCAGGGCTACCTCTACCAGGCGCCCGGCTCGCTCGCGCTCTACTCGTGCCCGGCCTACGGCGCGTCGGCCCTGGCGGCGCCGCGCAGCGAGGAGCTGGCGCGCTCGGCGTCGGGCTCCGCGTTCAGCCCGTACCCCGGCTCGGCGGCCTTCCCGGCGCAGGCGGCGCCCGGCTTCGGCAGCCCGCTGCAGTACCCGGCCGACGCGGCGGCCGCCGGCTTCCCGTCCTACATGGTAACCGCGCGGGCGGCGGGCGCGGCGGGCCGGGCCGGGGAGCGGGGCCGGGCGGGCAGAGCCGCGCGCCGGGGCTCCGCGGGGGCCGCCTCGGGGCCGCGCCGCCGCGGGGAGAGGCCGAGGGAGAGGCCGCGAGGCCACCGCGCGCGTCCTCGAGTCGGGCCGGGCCGCGCCGGCGTCTCTTCCTCGGGCCGGGACCCTGAGAGTCGCCCCCGGGAGGGTCCGGCCGGGCGCGGGCGGCTGGCGCCCAAGTCCGGCGAGGGGGCCGGAGCGGGCCGGGCGGTCGCTTCTGCAGCTCGGGGCGCGAGGGCCGGCGCGCCCGGGGCCTCCGGGGCGACCGCGGGCTTCTCGCCGCGTCGGCGGAGTTCGGGGCCGCCGGCAGGGCTGGGCGCGGAGCCTCGCCCGCCGGGACCCGGCCTCGGTCGGCCCCGCGGGCCGCGCTTGGCCGAGGCGCGGCGGTGGGCGGGGGAGCGCGAGCCGGCGCGGCCCCGGCGGAGCAGCCGTCCCCCGACCCGGGGTCGGTCCGCGCGCCCCCCGCAGCCGCTGGCCCCGACCCGGGCGCGGCGAAGCGTCGGGGCGCCGGGGCCGCTCGGGGCCGGGGCTGCCGCCCGCCCTCGGCGGGGTTCCCGGGCCGCGCCAAGGCGCCGGGTCTGGGCGGAGGTGGCGAAAAGTCTCGAATTTAAACGTTAAAGGCTGAATTAAAATGCTAATTACGCGTGTTTGAAGAATTCGAAACGGTGACTGGCTTCTGAGTTGCAAATTGGATTTGCGGAGCTTCGGCGCGCTGAATAGCGGCGCGGGGGGCGCGGGGGGCGCGGGGGGCGCGGGGGCTTCTGCACAGCAGGGCGGGCCGGGGGCGGCGGCCGGGCGCAGCGGGACTTAGACGCGCGGAGCTACCTGTGGGCCCGGCGCGCGCCCCGGCCCGGGAGCGGGTCGTTGGAGGGAGGCGAGGCCGTTCAGGAACCGAGAATAAAACTGCGGCGCTTTCCGCGCTCAACAGCTGCCCCAGGGGCCGCGGTGCCCGCCGCGCTCCCGACGGTCCTGCCGCTGCGAAGGGGCGCGCGCGCGGGAGGGCGCCCGGCCGGCCCCGCTGCCCCGAAAACCCGGCTCACCGCGGCCTGTCGGTTCCAGGGCGCGCCCTACGACGCGCACTCGGCGGGCATGACGGGCGCCATCAGCTACCACCCGTACGGCGGCGCGGCCTACCCCTACCAGCTCAACGACCCCGCGTACCGCAAGAACGCCACGCGCGACGCCACGGCCACGCTCAAGGCCTGGCTGCAGGAGCACCGCAAGAACCCCTACCCCACCAAGGGCGAGAAGATCATGCTGGCCATCATCACCAAGATGACCCTCACGCAGGTGTCCACCTGGTTCGCCAACGCGCGCCGGCGCCTCAAGAAGGAGAACAAGATGACCTGGGCCCCGAGGAACAAAAGCGAGGACGAGGACGAGGACGAGGGCGACCTGGCGCGCGGCAAGGCGGGGAGCCCGGACCGGGCGCGGGAGGGCGCCGAGACCTCCGCGGAGGACGAAGGTGAGCGCGCGGCGGCGCTTTCTTCCCAGGCGGGGCGCGCGGCCGGGGGAGGCCGGCCCGGGGCGCGGGTGGCTGCGGGGCGGCGCCCCTGGGGCAGCCGCGCGCCCCAGGGCCCCGCCGGGGAGGGCGCGGGCGCGGGGGGCGCGGGGAGGGCCGGGCGCCCCGGGGCCCCTCCCGCCGCCGACCTGCCGCCCCCGCAGGGATCAGCCTGCACGTGGACTCGCTCACCGACCACTCGTGCTCCGCGGAGTCGGACGGGCCCGGGGACCCGCGCTGCGAGGCGGGCGAGGCGCGCCGGGGCCACTTCGAGGACCTGGAGGACGCGGAGGCGGGCGATGCGGAGGCCGAGCCGGACCTGGCGCCGCCCAAGCCGGTCACGTCGTCGCCGCTCGCCGGCGTGGAGGCGCCGCTGCTGAGCCCCGCGCCCGAGCCCGCGCCCCGCGGCGGCGGCCAGGCGGCCCTGGGCAGCCGGACGTCCCCGGGCGCGCCGCCCGCCGGCAAGCCCAAGCTCTGGTCGCTGGCCGAGATCGCCACGTCGGACCTCAAGCAGCCCGGGCCCGCGCCCGGCCCCGCGCCCGCCGCGCCCGCCGCGCCCGCGCCCGCGCCCGCCGGGGCGCCGCCCGGGGGCTCCGCGTACCCCGCGTCGCCGCTGCTGGGCCGCCCGCTCTACTACGCCGCGCCCTTCTACGGCGGCTACGGCGGCTACGGGAGCCTGGGCGCCGCGCTGCAGGGCCAGGGCCTCCTGCGCTACGGCTCGGCCGCCGCCGCCGGGGACGCGCTGCACGCGGCGCCCAAGGCCGCCAGCGACGCGGGCAAGGCGGGCGCGCCCCCCCTGGAGCCCCGCTACCGCGCGCCCGCGGGCGGCTACGAGCCCAAGAAAGGTAGGCGGGGGCGGGGGGCGCGGGGCGGGGGCGGGCCGAGGCCGGGGGCGGGGGGGGGGCGCGGGGGCCGGGGACGGCCGGGCGCCCGAGGAGGTGCCGGGGCGGCTCTGCGGCTGGCGGGGAAGACCTGCCGGCCCTCGGGTCTCCCCACTGCGGGCGCCGCGCGCGCCCCGGGCAAACGGCAGCTGTCCCGGCGGAGGGCGCTGGGCCTCGCGGGTCCTGGGGCCGCGACCCGCTGTCCACGTCCTCCGCCGGGAGGCCCGGCCACCCCTCTCCTGCGGGCCGGGCCTGGGCAGCGGCCTTCCCCTCCCCGGGCCTCTGGGGGCCTCCCCCTCGCACCCGCGCGGGGCGGCGGAGCCGGGCGGGGGTGACAGATGGCCCCGCGGCCCTGCTCACCACGGCCCTCCCCACAGATGCCGGCGACGGCTGCGCGGCGGGCGGGGGCGTCCAGCCCTACCTATAGGAGGGCGCCCGGCCATGCAAGTAAGGAGCCCCCTGCGCCCCTGCCTGGAGCCCACGTGTGCGCCCCGTGCTGTCGCCGAGGACAGAGCTCGCGCTCCGGCCCCGCTGAGAGCGGCCGCGCTATTTATAGACCCTTCCGTGTCGCTCAAGTTCCGCAGGAGCCGCGCGCCCTGGGCTGGAGCAGGTGACTGCACCCTGCTGCTGCTGCCTCCCTCGAAACAATAGATGATTGCACCTGGGTATTTACGCAATTCGGAGCCACTTTCTACGCCGGACACGTGCAGACGCGGCCGGGTCAGCCAGGCCCCTGAAGCTGGGGCTGGGGGATCCCTTCCCAGATGAGGGCTGCGGAGCCCCAGAAGCCCGTCCCCTCCGGTCCCCGCGCGCGCGGCCCAGGGCGGCAGCTCCCACCCCGACCGACCGCAGGGCCTGGCGCAGTGACGGCCACGGCCGAGCCGGGACGGCAGAGCCGGGCAGAGGACGGCGCCTCGGGACGGGATGTCGCCGGTGCGGAACGGAAGGATTTGGGAGGATGTGGCTTTTCCCTTGGTCCGCAGGTAGGTGTCACAATTGCTTTGGAAAAAACGTCAGCGGCCCCTTCTCTTTCCAAGTCCATAAATGTACAGATGTCAGGGCAGCCCTGGCAGCGCGCGTCCTGTGGCCCGAGCGCCGGGGCGGCCCTGGCGCTGCTGCTGTAGGTTAGCTCCCCCGTGTCCGTGTGACCTTCGCAAACAATCTTTTTTCTCAGGATACCTTGAATTGATCACTCCATTGCCACGGTATATATTCTATAGGTGTGATAGGATTGACTGTAAAATTTATTTGTAAAAGATGTATACAGTAGAAATAAAACGTGATTGAAGAACTCGAGTACTTAAGAAGTGGAAACAAATTTGATATTTATTTTTATAATGATATAAAGCTTCTAGTAATTTATGCAAGTTGTATTGCAATGGAATCTAAACTTTTTGTAAATAAATTCTGCCTGGTTTTTATTTGAACATCGCTGGTTATACAATCTTTGTTGGTTGTCTAACAGGAATTCTTTACTAATTTATATCCTAAACTGTAAATAAAAACAGACTAGTCTACAACAAGACGCTGTTTGGGGCTCATTTTTCTTAGAAGAGGTTTGGGGGGAGAGTCCTGGGGAGCTCGGCCCCTCCCCCCAGGCGATCTGACCTCAGGCTTTTTAATGAAAATGTGTAAAATAATCTCTCCTTTCTCCAGCTCACGGAAAAGGCAAACGCAAACGGAAGAGAAATGCCCAGCGGGGAGACAGACTCCCTTTCAGTTATTCCTAGCCGCGTGAATTGCGAGAAAAATTGTTGGGCTCTGAGTGTGCAAACTGTGCTTGCCTGTAAATGTTTAAACCTTGGCAAAATACAATAACCGGACTCTCCCGCACGCCGGGACCCGCTGGATCTGTGCTCGGTGCTGCGCTGCAGTCCCCGCCGGCCAGCGTGGTGGGCCGGGCGGCCGGCGGTGGGGTGACAGCCGCTTGCACCCCCGCGGTAAATTAGCGATGGGGAGCATTATTTATTTTAAAGCCTGAATTATCTTAAGTGTGCAGCGATTATTCAGATTGATTGAGCAATCTCTGAACTCTGCTTTTCATATAAGTCCCATTAAACAGATCTGGGAGGAGAGATTTATCTCCCTTTCAGTGGCTCTTAGTCTTCCCTCCCCCGGGGGAAAAGAAAGTTTAAACAAGCTTAGACGATTGCCTGGTTATTGTGTTACCATCTAATTACAGGACACGTCTAGAATTTGTAGTGAACTAACACATCCCCTTTGATTGGTATCATAAAAGCGGCAAACCTGTCACTTTAATTTTCGGCAAAATTATATGGATATCCATATAATATAATTTTAGAAAAGAAATGAACAATCATTTATTTCCTCTCCAAAGATAAATTGAGTGAATATAACTTACGGTTATAAAACAAGAATAATAGCTTCTTAGATTGCCCTTTAATCAATCATACACTTATTTTTCAAGAGGTTCATCTATTTTATTCCATGATTAATAATGCTGCAGCCTGAGAACATTATTGGATCCCAGCGGGGGAGGCCCCGGATGCTTTTAGCTGCTTGGAATGGTCAGTTGGGGTTCATTATGGGCTGATATTGAACAATTTATAAAATCTTGTCTAAACATCTGCCAGCCCCGATAGCGGGGTGTCTGGAGGTGGGAGATTGCTGGACCAGTTGATATTGACAAACGGATCTCTCTCCAGTGGCTTTTTGTGTCTTAGAAATTAGTGGCCTCTTGCTGGGGTCTTGTTAGAAAGGGTATTTGAAAGTAATCTTAGGGACTTGAGGCAAAGCCAGGAGGCTGTTTACTGGACGCAGGGCCTGGCCAGCAAGGGGAACAAAGGTGGCTCTGCTAGAGGCCCCGCAGTCGGGGGTGGGGGGGTGGGGGGCGTCTCCTACTTGTTAGGCATTTTGTTGGTTTGAAATACCTAAGTATTTGGAGCTTGGGCATAGAGGGCATTATTGGGGTACAAGCTATTCTCTCCTCCTGGCCTCACTTAGAAATGGCCAGGGAGGTGTTTGGAGCACCCCAGCCCCCAGCGCTGGCTTCGGTCGCAGGAGCAGAGGCGCGGGAGGGAGGGAGCATTGCCAGGTCCCTCAAGGAAAAGTGAGCTCAGCTCATTGCTTGTTCCCTCTTAGACAGAAGAGCATCGTAGATTTTCCAGGAGGACAATGCCTTCCCGCCTCTAGATAGCGTTTCGGGTGACGCGAGGGAGGTGCCCACTAGCTGACCTTGTGAACACCAGCTTGTGTCTGCCGTCAGCAGGACCCACGCGCCCGGCGCTCCGCTGAGATCCCTGTGGCCGTCCGAGTGTTCTGGAGCCGGCAAAGTGTGCAAGCTGACAATATCTAAGGGTCAAACACTGCAAGCCCGCACGCCCTAAGGGTCAACCCCAGGGCGCCCCTTTTCAGGGCCACGTGGAGCTCAGGAGAAGGGGACCGAGGTGAAAACGGGTCTCAGTGCAGATGCTGAGAAATTGAAGCCTGGACTAAAGCTGCCTCCCTCTGGAACAGAGAAGATTGTTTTACCTGGACACTCGATCCCCCATCCCTGGGTGCAGCCCCCCCAGACCCCGCAGGTCCCCAGGGGCAGCCTGGCGGTTCAGGAGACCAGCTGGGCCGGGAGCACCGATGGCCAGTGCCGCCAGTGACCCCCGATCGCGGCTCCTGGCCAGGTTTCCTCCCGCAGAACCTGGTTGTTCGCTGCCCCCGGGAGCACAGGGCAGCCCCGAGAGCACAGGGCGGCGCAGCCAGAGGGCCAGAGGGATCTCTTTAAAAAACCGGAGGAGTGATTTATGGGCGCTTGTGCCAGCGCATCTGGAGGGAGAACCTTCCCGGAGGAGGAGGAAGGGCGTGAACACAGCCCTATTTTCATTTTCGCTTTAAAGCCCAGTTGGTGAGAAGCGGGAGGTCAGGCTCTCGGTCCTCAGCGGCTGCGGGAGGAGGCTGCGGCTGGGGTCCCGCGCCCCGGCCTCCCTGGCCAGCCAATCCCCCTGGGTTTGATCCCAACAGACCTGGGCGCTCCCAGGGGGCCTCTGCCCAGCGCCCATCTTAAGGTGTCTGGACTCTGCCGTCCTCACGTCAGATGTCAGATGTCGACATTTGTTGCCAATAAAAGAGTTATTGTCTCCGCAAAGCCTCCCGCCCCGCAGCCTGGAGAGAACTCGGCCACCCTTGTCAGGAGAGAGGCAGGACTGTGCGCTGAGCGTGGAGCGGCGGCGGGGTGCGAGGGCCGGTCCCCCAGTGCGTCTCCTGGGCTCTGGGCTTGGGTAGGTCCGGGGTCCGCGGCCTGGCAGCGCCGGGCGGGGGAGCCAATAGACCGCGCGCTCGCGCACTTGCGGGTCAATTAAAAATGCCTTGAAATATTTATTGAAGAGGCCAGGAGTGAAGTTGACCTTTTGTTTTTTTAACGATGCAGAATGAACGTGCGCTCTGCTCCTGCCGCTAGAGTCCAGGTAATCAGGATCAGTCTGGAAAAATCATTCCAACCCAATTGATCTGTCCGCTCCGGGCAGGCTCCCCGCGGTAGGCACCCGGGCTGTCAGGGCCGCGCGGCGGCAGCACGTGCGAGTCTCCCCACGGACTGTCCCTCAGGTCCCGGAGAGCGGGCGCCCAGGACGTGCGTTCACCCTAACCCCAAGTTAAGGATACAAGCAGATCTGTTGAACGTGTGTTTTTAAGCTGCTTTTAAAAACAACACTTAAAATATTTGAAAAATGTGCTACCCCAAGAGGCAGCCCGGGAGCAACCTGCCTGTGATGAGGCCATCACCATTAGCATCCCTGGAATTTCTAGGAGCCCAAAGGGGACCTGTGCCTGGGGGGCGTTTCCAGACCTTTGTGTTTGTGACAAACCCCTGCAGGTGCTCCAGGCCCGTCCAGGAGTCAGCGGGACAGCACAAGGTCCCAGGTGCCGAGAATTCCTCTAAGGACCTGCCTGCGGCCCAGTCCTGCCCTCTGCTCCGCCGGGCCCGGCCCCGCGGGAGCAACAGCGCCCCTGCCCTGCCCGGCCCGGCCCAGTCCCCAGGCAGAGCCCGGGCCTCCCGGGCCACAGCCCCGCGCGCTCCGGCCCACAGGGCCCTCCGTTTCGAAGCGGCCACGCGTCCTTGCTCTTTCTAAGAAAGGTAAAGAGGAGCTGCTGCTTGGGGCTCCGCTCGTCTCCAGGCGAGGAGCAGGCGGGAAGCACCGGGCCTCGGGCGGCCCCGGGTGAAGGGAAAGCGGAAGGTGCTCGCGGAGTTCTGGCCCCGGTGCCGAGTCTGGAAGGTGCTTGGGACTGAGAGCGGGTCCCGCCTGGCCCAGCCCAGGGGCCTGCGGTGGGACCAGGGCGGCTTCACGGGGTGCCCGAGGGGGCCCCACAGGGAGGGGGTCCCCAGCACAGCCCCCACAGCTCCCTTTTGTGGGGAGGCAAATGGACCGTTTTTGTAGGTTCCGATCAGTCAGGCGGGTGGAAGAACGTGCTCCCGAC